ACTTCTGACTTGTCACACCAGGAAACATTGATGATGTGTGGAGGAAGTAATGAATGACCGACCCAATTGGACTTGTTCAATAAGCTCATTGCAGGAGATTCCCCAGGAAGCATTACGGATTCAATATAAAATATCACCTTGTCATCCACCACTTGAGAATCTTGATTTCACCTACTTAGAGAGAACTTGCAATACAAAACACATCTAGTACAAATTTCCCGGGATTCAAACCAGGGTGCAAGATGTTATGAAGCAATTTATTTTCTTAGTTAAACGGTCCATTCATTATCATGCTCACGTGAAGCTAACATCGGGGACATTTAGTTATAAAGTGTAATTCTAACTCATATAGGCATCTCATAGTAGTTGATTGAAAGATTGCATTTTGAAAACGTGAGCATTATCGGAATTGTTTCTTCAAACACCACCCTGTGTTGGTCCATTATGCAGGTTTATATTGCGTTGTATTGTATCGATTATAATTTTTATTCACGTGATCGCAGTGGAGGACTTGATTCGATTGTACAGTGAATTTCATCCTACACAGAGTAAATGAAACGTGAACTGAAAAGCTAGGGTTGTGTGCTTGTGTTATACCTGTGAGCTCCCGGGTTCGATCCCCAGTTAGGTTGGTGGATTCTCACTGCTGATGAAACCCAATCAGATCGAAAGGGCTATTGAAAACTTCCCAGCTTTTCAGTTCATTCATCGCTTGTTCTATACAGGATGAATTAATTATATGCTTATAGCTTTGTTCAAAATAAACATTTTAGTCACATTCCCAGATAAAATAATCGAGGGTCAAGAATAAGATAAGCTTCTCGAATCAAACAACGGTTTCTCTCGCTCTCGTTGTACAATCTCTTATTTGGATGATTGAATCCCTGATTGGAATATTTGTGTCCTAGTGATGTCCGTAGCTTCTTAGTCTCAGTTTACGCTTCTTCCCGAATAATAATTCTTCTCCTCGACCGTTTTACCATGAAACCTTATATTTTCCAGTTCTCTAGTTATTAGCTTCAATGTTAATTCTTTTTGAACTAAATATTTATTTGTATGTGTTTCTGTGAGTGGACAGCGTTGCCCAGTTTTTGCTACTGGTCCAAGTGTTCTGGGTTTCTGAGTCTGGTTGAGGTTTAAAACTCCGTCGAATACATTAAAAAAACTGCTCTCCAAATGACTGCATTTTGATCCAGACTGCTTCTGAATTTCTAATCTAAATTACAATGCATGCACACGATGACTTGAGTTCCCTCACTAGGTGGAAACCAATAGGTCTCCCAAACCGTGGGCTACAACCACTAAATACCACTAAATTCCTACAATACTCATTACTCCGGAGATTTTCTCCCGTTCGTACAGTGCTTAACGGACTTGTGACGGTCACGAAGTTTGTTTCTCACCTCATTGCGAATGCAGTTCATTTAGCAATTATCAAAATTGTGTACACTCGTTAGATTGTCAAGTTATTCGTACTGATACGCATTTCATTTTTCGTTCCAGACACTTCGAACTTCACATTTCTAAAAAGAAAATGCATGAGACACTACCCCAATCGTTTGTTAATTCGGATCACGAGCAGTGCGATACTGTACAGTGGATTAGTTCCGATGGTAAGACAAAGTGTTAGCATGCAAGCAAAATCGATTTTAGAACTTTATTCCACGTATCAATTGCCGATAAATGTACAAGACTCAGAGAAAATTTTTGCTGATAATGGTTTCCCCGGCCAGTACATCACCACCTCTCACTGGCCACGATCGAATTGGAGCCTACCGCAGTGTTATTCGGATAGGACTGAAGAACCACAATTTCACAACGGATGGCCTGATGAATGGGAATCAAATCCACCGGAATCAAACATGACTAGCAATAGCTGGAACTACTTTTATGAAGATTATCCATCACGCAACTTGCAAGAAAACTTGATCACGGAACCAACTGGTGAGTGTGGCACTGTGCACGATTCAGTCGGACCCAGTACGACTCAGTGTTGTTGGAATTTATCCAATACATGCTGTACAGATCAAGTTCATCATACAAGAGCTCCCGCATATACGGAAGCAAGTCACATGGTTTCCACACACGAACCACACAATAAACCTTCATTTCATCTGAGTTTATCCATGTGCATGCGCGTGAATCTTAACGGTGATGACATTGAGGAGTTTCATGATCGAATGGACACACGCGGTTTGTTCTATTGTGATTATCCTGAAGAACCGGATCCCAACCTAATCGAACCTAATTGGTCAGTCCCCGGGGGTTTGATGTTCACTAACAACCATTGCCCTTACCAGACTCGATACCGGAACAGCGTATCTCCCAACTACCAGATAAAAACAAATCAACCGAAATATATCACTTGCTTCACCGAACATTCAAACCTGAGCACAGAAAAAATGGAATCTCAACCAGGACATAGTTTCAACCGGGAAGATTACACTTCTCAATACACTTCTGGCGGTTTGGATTCACTCCTCAAAAATGATCCTATCCCACTTGCAGTGTGTCATGAAAATAGGCTTGACTATTCGTATTGCATGTGCCTAGAGAATAGATCAGATTTTTACACGAGTTTCAATGATGTGAAAACACAAGTTCCTGATAGGGACCACCAAGAATACTTTTGTTGTTGTCCTCATTGTTCTCGTGACAATGTTGCCCGAGTTGGACTAATCGAAGAACCTCATTTGAATCGGCCAGCAGACTCTTGCAGAACCCCACATATCTGTTCAGTGAATTCGACTGAAAATGAGCCTGAATCGTTCCGTCTCACAACCCAGGACAGTGAAGAGTGCTGCAACGGTGCAGCCGACAGCCTTCATCAAGCATGTCCAGATGTACGATCAGGTGCGGACTCGAGAAGTTATCACGACCCCAAACAATCGAATGTGTGCTTCCTATGTGCTCGAGTTTACGCTCGTCCCAGTACACTAAAAACACACTTACGAACTCACTCCGGATTTCGCCCATATCAGTGTGTTCGATGTGGGAAGAAATTCTCCCAAGTGGCCAATCTGACCGCGCATATGCGTATTCATTCGGGTGATCGGCCCTTCCAGTGTCCCATTTGTCATCGGTCATTTTCCCAAAGCTCATCTGTTACCACACACATGCGAACACATTCGGGAGAACGGCCGTACAAATGCCATTTATGCACCAAAGCGTTTGCGGACAGTTCAACCCTAACCAAACACATACGTGTACACTCGGGTGAGAAGCCGTATCGTTGCGCGCAATGTTGCGTGCGATTTTCTCAATCAGGCAATCTAAAGCGACACAGTAGAATTCACATGAAATCGGACGAACGCGGTTGATTGCAGCGAATTAGGAAAATGTCACAAGAGATCACCTCATTAAGTGGCATCGACCTGGTGAAAAATCTTGTAAATGTAACTGAAGAAAATAAATGTGGAATGCAGAAACAAGTTCATGCGTTATTGGTTTGGAACTCAAGGCTACAAGTCAAAAGTCAAAACAAAAAAATAAATCGACAAACTCAACAAAAAGGAAACAGAAAAAAGAGGATAATGGGTGTTAGCATAGAAAACCTGGAATCTTGGAAAAGTCCGAATTAAACGAGCTTGCACTGGGAATAAAGAGAAATAAGGTGGCAATTGTAATTGTTCAAAACTAGCGTGGTCGCAAAATAAAAAGATAAAATGTCCGTCATATTTCCAGCGGCGATTGCTGAGAGAGAAAACAAGGGTATATGTCGAAAAGGTAATATAAGGGAAAAAGTCGGAGAGAGATCACTGATGGCAGGAGGATGTAAAAAAACAGAGAGTAGGGAGCATGGATCAAAAAGAAAAGAAATGAAAAAAAATATCCATGAAAAGCCGATAATTAATATCTACCAACAAAACACACGAACACACGGAAAAATGGCAAAAATTGTAGGCATATTCATTGAAGAACCAGGAAAACCCACACGGAGAAACAAATGAACGCGAAACACATAAAATAAAAACACCATAGCACAAATTTTGAGAGAATGAATGCGTTTCACCCGGTCATTCTCTCGAACAAAATGCCAGTTTAGTTTTAGTTTGCTATGAACGGCTAAAACTGCGATCACTGTGCGATGAATCGGTTGATATTGTATCATGCCGGTATTGTGTAATTTGACTTAGTATATCGTCTGAGTGTTGACAGTTCACCACGCTATCCAGGTACGGGTAGTCAGGTGTTGTGGCTTTCGTGTGAGATGTTCCTTAATCTCCATATTGCTTTCGTGTTCCATCCTATTCTTGTTCACATTATTCTCCTTTTCAATATTGTCCACGACATTTTGTGGCATGTTTTGTGCACGGGAATTTGGGAACGGTGTGGTTTGTATGTGTGTTGACTGGTATGGTTTCTAATGTGCGTTTGATGTGTCTGTTTGGGTGTTCTTTTTTGTGGATGTATTGAGGTTTTCGATGAGATGTATTTGGGTTTAATAGTGTGTTCATTTCTGATGATGTTTTGAGTTGCCGTGATTTGTTCGGTTTCTGGTTGTAGCTTGACTTGNACATGCTGACGCATAGATGTGAGAGCATGAATGCGTTTCACCCGGTCATCCTAATTGATTGCATTTGGATGTACTAGCAATCTGGTGTTGGCCAGCTCGCGTGTGTGTCTCGAGCACACAATGCCAGTTTCGTTTTAGTTTGCTATGAACGGCTAAAACTGCGATCACTGTGCGATGAATCGGTTGATATTGTATCATGCCGGTATTGTGTAATTTGACTTAGTATATCGTCTGAGTGTTGACAGTTCACCACGCTATCCAGGTACGGGTAGTCAGGTGTTGTGGCTTTCGTGTGAGATGTTCCTTAATCTCCATATTGCTTTCGTGTTCCATCCTATTCTTGTTCACATTATTCTCCTTTTCAATATTGTCCACGACATTTTGTGGCATGTTTTGTGCACGGGAATTTGGGAACGGTGTGGTTTGTATGTGTGTTGACTGGTATGGTTTCTAATGTGCGTTTGATGTGTCTGTTTGGGTGTTCTTTTTTGTGGATGTATTGAGGTTTTCGATGAGATGTATTTGGGTTTAATAGTGTGTTCATTTCTGATGATGTTTTGAGTTGCCGTGATTTGTTCGGTTTCTGGTTGTAGCTTGACTTGAGTGTCTAATGTGCGAGTATTATGTTGATTGGTCTTTCGGCCGCGGACGGCCTGGAAAAATTGCATCTGGCGACGGTATTTCACGTCCCCAGTGCGGGGTATTGGGAGTAGTTTTCAACTAGCAATAACCGCGCCTCAGATAAACTTCATTGGCTACGGTACCGCCACTGCGCAAAGTCAAATCCAAACNCATCCTAGCGAATCACATACCCAAAAACAACACACCAAACACCAATACACTCATCTGAATCGCACTCAACACAATATAATAACACGCACAACAAAAACAACAAACAGTCACTAACAACAAAAACTAGCCGCGGAAGAAACGAAAATGCACATATCTTACCTGTGCAAAAATAAATAATATCACTTTGTCTGTTCGCAGAAAACAAACAGCGCGGTACATACTACTGAACTACTTGAACACAACAAAACACCACGCACGTGTGAGTGTGCGCGCGAGAAAACTGACCAGTGCGTTGCAAGGAAATTCAATGCGACCAAAGCATACTGGAACCGGTTGGACGCACATAACGGACACACAGAAACATGTGTGATGGGGTGAAACGAAAGCAGAAGGGATCAAAGATACGTTGGTAGAGGACGGAGGGAAGCAGAATAGCGAAGCGCGTATGCGATGCATGATAGTGAGCGAATCGCCTACAATCCAGACCACCATGATGAGGTCAAGGTGGATGCTGATCACACTGATGTTCAACTCACAGCCGCATATGGAAGTGGACATAGATTTGGACTCGCACTCGCATGTGGACGTGGAGCTGGACCTCGATGTGGACGTGAACTTCCGATTGCGCTGCGACTCCACCTTCTGACACACATATACATATGCAACTATTATACAATTCTTACTTTCCCATTATCACCAAGTTCACGAATGATGCAGTGAATGCGCTTGTCGCATTCTCCGTGTGTTTCTCCGCATGCGTTGCGATCTGTCTCACACTGTGTGAGTGTGTGTGTGTGTGTGTGTGTGTGTG